ACACTTCTTAATATTTCTACCTTTGGTGATGATTTCAAAAACTTTGAAAACAACAGTAAATTAAAATATTAAACAAACTTTATTCCATAAACAAATACATACGTATATGTATTTGGTATTCTGGAGTGTCTAATCACATGAATTTCTATACCACTTTGAGTCCAAAACACACAAAAAAAAAAAATATTAGCTGTATCTTCGCTGATATTGGATCAATCTTATAATTTTGTTTTAATAGATTAGTTTTGTTCATAGGTAATAAAATTACCTTTAAAATGAGCATCTAGAATGCTTCAGGTGATAAACTTTATTGCTGATACTGATCTGCTTTAAATGGTTTCGTTTCTTTTGATAGAAAATTTAATTATCTTAAAAATAATATTTAGAATTTTCATTAAATGCATACTTTCTGAGTTTTCTGAAAATAAAATGATTTGTTTTTCATAACTTTCTTCATTTTCTCTATGACTTTGCTGCATATGAAGTTAAAGAGCTTCAAGGAGATTTTGATTTTAAGAAAGTTCCATTAAAAATAGTTAGATCCATTTTGTTTCAAGTCTCTTAAAAATTAAGCTTTTCTTTTGTTGAGCAGTCGGTTTTTTGTACAAGATGGCCATTTCAGTACAGTCAATGGAAATAGAAATCCTTGAAAAAAAAAAATCAAAACTTTCAAGATTTTAATTGAGACATAGCACATTTACACAATCAATTGGAAAAATGGTTTATTTAATTTACTTTTTTGGAAATTAAGGGATTCTGAGATGTTAAGATCTGTCAATGACCAGATATAACGAACATTTGCATTGGAAACCTAAGAGTGAAAAAAAACTTCAGGTAAAATTAGCTTAAATAATAATAATACATATCTGTATTGCAGGTTTCATTTTGGTTTATTATTTTCGCGATTTTAAAATATTATTGCTTAAAATATGTTTTTTTTAAAAGTTTACGGAATTTCCTAAAAAACAAAAGATATGGTCTCTAGTTTTTTTTTTTTTTTCATATGTTCTGCTGCAAAGGTTATATTGTTTGTTTTGGTTTTTGAATTTTGAATGTGTTACTGAAGTAATGCTAATTGTTCTAGCATATTACTAATGATTAAAAAAAAAAGTTTAGTCCAATAATTGGAATCATCTTTTATTTATTTTTCTTTATAACTAGGAACGTAATGTTACATTAGATGTATAATTGTTTGAAAATAATAAACCATTGTGAAATAATTTGCAGCATTTTTTCATATCACATGGCTAATTGTAAAAAATAAAAATAAAATATATATACAAATGAACATAAAATCTTCTCAAAATTACTTAATTGTGAAGGAAAAAAAAAAAAAAAGAGAAATTACATATTTATATATACATAACTACACAATTTATAAACAATAAGCAATCTAATAGAAACTAACTTAATGCAAAATGTAATAATATCTACAGTGGTTTATATAATAATATGCAGACACTAAGATAAAATAAAATCTTAGGATACTTGTGGTGTAATGGAAAAAAAAATAAATAAAAGGAACTATTTATACGTACATTCTCATATTGCCACACATAAAGACAAAAATATAAAATGTAAACATATATACCCGAAAGAAAAAGCACAACCTGAGGAGAAGAGAAAAATCAATAAATAGTAAAAATAATAGTCAAACTAGATGACAAAGATCATTGCTGTTTTATGTTAAAACTTAAACAGTAGGCACCACTATTTACTTCACGCAAATTCAGTTCATAAAATGAAATTTATGCTGGTAAATCTTCTGTTTGGGGTGTAAGGAGATATTGGAAAAGGAGGTATTTGAAAGTTGACAGGGAAGAGGCATGACGGATGTTATGTGGCAAAGAATTCCAGTAGGAGACGGAGCGGGCTAAGAAGGAACGTTCATAGGTTTTTATCCTGTGGAATGGAATATAGAGGTCAGAAACACGGGATCTCATTTTTATTGAGTGGACTAAGGATTTAGGCTGGAGGAGACAACTGATATAGGAAAGTATGCTGGGAGTTGATCGTTTGGTATAAGAAATTTCCAAGGAACTATAGGCGGCGGGAAGAGGGGAAGAGCCACTTTGACTCGGCATATAGGTGGGACACACGAGACCATCTCGAAGTACCGAAGACGAATCTTAAAAAACAGAATATTTGTTAGCATTTTTTTAAATAGGAAAAACAAACCATCTGGAGAGTAAACCTTAAACAAGTTTATCGCAAAAGAAATAAATAATCAATAGTAAATATTGGTGAATATTAAAATGATATATTCTATAAATAAATATATATTAATATAATCATAAAAAAATAAAATTTTATGTTCCATATTTACTTTAATATCTCTGGTTCCTTTCTAATTAAGTTAAAAAGTCTATTACCAATTTTTAAAGATTACCCAAATAAAAATGTTAGATATGCGATTGAACAAAAAAAAAATGAACAAACAAATTTTGTACAGCGTGATATGGACTGTCATACAGCCTGTCTATGCTTGAATAAGTTATCAAAGACATCCAGAATGTCTTTTCATGCTTAATAGATTAGCAAAACTTCACTACTTCGGTTGTGAACCACAAACAGCATAAACATCTCATGGTTGGAAAAAATGTCGAAATTCTGTGTCTTACTGTTTCTTTTAGTAGGAATTTTGTTTCAAAATATCAAATCATATAAATTTCCAATTTCAACTTTTTTTAAAAACAAAAATATTGGATCAGTAACCCTAGCTTCCTGTTCTGAGAAAGGTAGGAAAATTTAATATAAAGAGAAAGATTAATTGATAAATTAATTCAACTTAATTATTAATGATACAAGCACTGGTAATATGAGCAGCAAGGCTTTGGTTTTGCTCAAATAATTGATAGGGATTTCCTTCTAATTAATTTAATAATAAATATGTTCAATTACCTGAAAAAAATGGGAACACTTATATTTCTCTTAATATATATTAAGGATATCACAGATTTCTATTATTAATAGTCTGAATTAATTGTTTTATAAAGTGTCATAAAAAAAAGATATTCCTAAGAATTTATAATAATATTGGTATATTAAGTAATGCAATTACATACAGTAACAGTGCCAAACTTAGTCATTTGGTGTCTTTGGGCAATGACATCATCTCTTCCCAAAAAATTTAATTTAGTTCTTACACTGCTTTAAATTAGGTAATATTTAAATTTCATTTCATTTAATATATCTCTAATTCAGATAATTTATTAATAGGATAAAATTAATTATTCTAATACGCTTTGTAATTTATTTTTTTTATTTCTAACGAGTAAAGGGTGCCCCTCTTCAGATCAGCGCCCCAGGGCAATTGTCCAGATTACCTGGCCCTAAGGCATAATATAATTTAAAATATGGTAGTATAATTTAAAATATGATTTCTCCAGCAATTGAAGAGTAGCAGTCCTTTAAAAATCCTGAGGAAAGAATACCTTTTATTTTAAATTTAATAAGAATTATGGTAAAAGTTACTATTACTTAGCATTTATGACAATCTTATTACTTTCAACATATAGTTTGTAATAATTTGCTGATTAATGTCAACAAAAAAAATCTGATTGATACTTTTTTACCTACAAAAATTAAATTTTTTTTTTTTTTAAATTGATATTGAAGTAAAAGTAAAAATGTTTTATTCTTCTAACGTTTCACAAATAATACCATGATTTCAGATTTAATTCAGGAATATTTGAAAATGAATTCAATGCATAAAAGTGATATTTTGATGGGCTTAAAAGGGAACAGAAGTAGCTTATATCCAACCTTTGATGCCCAACATTATCGTACTGGTGTTTATTTTGATTTTTCATGTGATTTTTCAAAAGAGGTTTTCAGAAAGGCAAGTATTTGGCACTGCCATTTATTGATTTTATCTAATTAATAAAATTAATTATAATGTTCACTATTTAGATCTCGAGTGATCAACTCCTTAATATGAGTTTTACAATTTTAATATCAACTGATGACTACGTTGAAACAATAAAATTTCTGGAGTCTTCGACAATTTCATTTGATTCAGATGTTACACTTATTGCCGGTAACCATTTGTATGATTTGTATAGAATGCATGAATCAAAATCTATTATCTCTAATATTGTTGGAACTCATGATAATGCGACGATCTCATACGTAAAACAGGAAAAAAGAAATGATTTGAAAGGAATAACTATAAATACAGGTGTAGTGGTATGTAAATTTATATTATTTTCTAATCAGGAGATAATTTAAGTTATTTGATAAATGATATAGTTATTACGTAGCTCAAGATGGTTGTTGTAACATTGACGAGAATGCTCTTTTTGCATATCATTTAGATAGATATTAAAAGACATTTTCACATAAATGTAATATCACTTCCCAATTTGATAGGAACAGTACCAATTAGATATTGATAAAGATTTTAAAATGTAAAGGAAGAAGAAGTGTTTTCTAAGTATAATGAAAGAGTTTCTGGGCAACAAGATAAATGAAAACAGTAAGAACTTCATAGATGAATTCTTGAAAGAATATGAAATACTATGGTGTCAAATGTTAATGTCCTTGAAAATTGGTGACACTCCCATTTTGGATTTTTTTTCTCTGTAAAATTTGGGTAAAGTAAGTGCAGAGCCTGGAGAGAAAACACGATTCCCGGAGAGAATTTCCCTGAGCCTCCTTCAAATATTATATTTACCACTAAAAAACATCTTTGTTCTTTATAATTTATAAAACAAAAATATTATATCAAGATAATAGCCTATTCATACACACGTTTTGTGAAACATGGTTACTTTGACTGAAGGGAACTCCAAATGTATATTTCCCTTGAATTTTCAGATTAAAATTTTTTTCATGATCGCAATACTTTCTCTCACAATATATTTTATATATTATACAGAACACTAAAAGAAAAGGTAAAAGTTTTTGTTGCTGTATGACAACTCAAATAATATGATTTTTGTACTCATAATTATCCGTAATGTCTTTTAAAATGTTAAAAAACATTTTAAATATTAAATAATCTATAAACTATTAAATTAATAACAGTTTGGAAAAATATGTAGCCTCCTTTTTTGGCTCCCAGCACCTATCCTCTGTATCAAAAACATTTTATGTGACACAATGATCAGCTCATCATTATTGGCTTTAGGACTTCAAAATACTTCATGTATTCTTATTTTTACTGAAATTACTTTTAAAAAGTTCAAATTTTCTAACCTCTGTTTTTGAATTAAAATAATAATAATTTATTTTTAAAACATTTATTTTTTTTTATTTATCTGAAAGTGTTGATTTTTAATAAGTGGCTGGGAGGATTTCCTTTAAACATTACTCCAGAAGGTATTGAAAAATTGCTCGATTCAAATTATGAGCCAGAAGAAGAATTCTTATCTAGGTATGGGTTTGCAATTCACAAAATTCTGGAGGACGCTTACAACTTCAGGTAACTTTAATCAGATAGAAATAATTCATAAGCATTTATTATTACTATATAAGTTAACACAATGTTGTTAGTAATTTATCACTAGTCCATAATCATAACAGTTTGGTTAAAATATCTATTATCTCAATAAGTAATAATTAAAATATTATTCATTCTTTAACTAAATATAGCAAAATATATTGAACAAAGTGTCATTCTATTAATGAAATAGAAAGTTTAGAATGAGTTTCCTTCATCCAAAGCGCTGCCTTATTTATTTAAATCTCCTATTTTCGATCCAAAAAATTTGATCAAGTAAGATTCATTCAATTGTATTGTAATATTACACTAAAAAAAACTTCTAAAATATTTTCGAGATTTTTCAATCCTGACCATCATAAATATTTAAACTTAGAACTGGGGAAGAGGTGTAAAGAAAGGGATTCTTCATGGAAAAGAAAATCTTAAATTGCTGGTTTTATTTATACCTCAATGAAGTATAAATAATAATAATTAATTACACATAGTTTCTAAGTTATCCTAATATAATGGTCAGCATGTGAAGCTAGTCCTAGAAGTATTTTCTGAAAACTTTTTGTTCTTCACAACTCTGAAATAAGTGGTTCATAATCCTGAAGATTTATAAAATATATTTGAGTAGTCAGGATTGTAAAAAGTGGTTTAAATAGTTTGGTCTTAAGAAATATATATTGACATAAAAAATTAAAGACCAAGTATTGGAAAGTATGAATGGTAGCAGCTTTAGAAAATTTGTTATATCACTGATAATAATTTAAAATATCTGAATAAGAATACCATAATATTTTTTCCCATCAATAGAATGAACATAAGCGTTTACGACGATTGGGGGTATTTCAATGAGAAATTAAAAGTTTGGGATAGTGGAATGTTTCATGCTCTTTCTTCAGGAGAGATTGATTTGGGAACTTCGATAAGCAGAGTATATGGACAGAGATTAGATGTTTCACTTTATTTTCCACCATATTTAAAATTTAGGTAAGTACACATTAATATACATTAATGAACAAGTAAGTATACATTTATATTATTTCATAACATTTTTTTTTCTCTTGAATTATTTTCTGTAATTAAAAATTTCAGTGTATTATGGATCTATCTTCTATAACGCCATTTTTATTGACAATTTAATAATATAATTTTGATATTTGTGACCGTTTTCAGAACATGCTTTATTTTTAAGCACCCATCAAGGCTTGGTAAGTTTACAGCTCTGGTGAAACCGTTGACTCTTGGTTCATGGCTTTGTATTTTGTCAGGTGTAGCCATATCAGGCCTCATCCTCTGGTTTATAAAATCATTTGACACAGTTGATATTCCGCCGAATGATCATGACCTGAGTGCAAATTTACTTACATCGCTGGGCACCTTTTGTCAACAAGGTAATTTAGAAATTTTAACATAAATAGTTCACTTTAAATTAACATAGAATCATAATTTATATTTTTCAGGTCTTTCAAGTGACTCCCAAAGATTACCAGTGAGAGTGTTGTACGTTTTTCAGTTAATTACAAGTTTGTTGATTTATATGTTTTATGGTGCAGCCGTGGTTGGATTTCTGCTTTTGCCATCTCCTAAAACAATTGATACAGTTAAAAAACTTATGGACAGTCCAATCACACCTTACGCAGAAAATCTCTTTTATCACAAAACACATTTTCAAGTAATTTTAATTTTATCTTTTATTATTAGTTTTTTACATGTAGAAAATGTTAAGATAAGAATATAAAATAAAAGTATATTAAGTGGCAACATTTCAAATTTCAGTTGTTACTAATCACCTGATAACTTTTTGATACAATTAAATTTATTTTAGGGAAATTTTAGTGAAAAGGCAGAAAAAGCATATGAGGCAATCAAAGACAAAAAAACTGGCAATGAAAGATGGATTGAATTAATGAGTGGAATCCAGAAAGTCAAGCTAGAAAGATCTGCATTATATGCCCAGGATACTAACTTATACCGGGCTATTGAAAATTCATTTAAAAACTCAGATATTTGTGCATTAGCTGAAATTGAAATTGTGTTGATATGGGCTTCAACAGTAATAAGAAAGAAATCTCCTTATAAAGAACTTTTTTACCAAGGGTAATTATTTATAAAATTAATTCATTTTCGATTTTATATAAAAAAAAAAAAGAACTTAAAATACTAATATTTATAATAATTCTTTGATTTTGCTAACTGTTAGTACAGTCTATAAGCCTATAATTTTAATTAATTTATTTAAAATTATTTGCTTTTAGTATTGCAATAATTGCTAATATGGTATGGTAATTGTTATGTTTTCTTTCAAAATATATCAATAATTACTTTTATTAGTATATATTTTAAATTACTTTTCAGCATGATCCTCACGCATGAGAATGGTTTGTTAAACAGAGCAATAAAAAACTGGCAAGCACAGCGGCCCACTTGCTTCGCCCAGAACGAGAGCCCAACGGTTAGCCTCGAGGCAATTGTCATAGCTCACATTATCTACACCTTGGGTTTATTGCTTTCATTTCTCTTACTTATATTGGAAATATATATCAATAAAATGATGAGATTTTCATTCAAAAATTAGAAAACTAAATAGTCATTAATGAGTTAAAACTATAGTACAATTACTTCATAAGTTGCTATGTCAAATAGTTGTATATAAATTAGTAGACATAAAACTTGCAGCACGTAGACTTAATAAATAATGAGATTTGATGAATTTAAAGAAAATCAATATTAAAATATCACAGACTAATTTGATTATTATTAAACTGACCCAAAGGCATATACTTTAAATGTGAAAAGATAATAATTAGGATCAAAATTGAAAAGTGTAAAATAAAAATATCAATTCAAAATGTATTAGAATTAAACTTGTTTATAGATTAGAATAAAATTAGTGTTTTTATTTCATAAAATAAAAAGTAAAAACTTGTATTTTTAATTTATTAAATGTTATTATTATTGAAAGTGTACTTTCTATATTTCATTGATATATCCCACCTCAAATGCATGTATCAATCATCAATCAGTTTTAATAACAGATCAATTGAATGATGGAAAATGATTTATAGTAGACATCTAACAAATTAAATCAATAAAATTCAACACAATTTTGTAATAAATCTATATACAATAACCATGAAACTTTTAATGAATCAAAGTGATTGGTTTCATAAATTCAGTCATCCTAATATTCTAGTATATACTGTCATCCATTTTAAGTTTATTGTCCTTAAATCATTTAATGAAAGAGGAAAGCTTTGGCTGTTCATGACGTTATGCCTTCGTGGGTCACATCATAATTTCAGAGAGAATAAGTAAAGAGTATTTGACAGGACCTTGCTCACAATGCTCTCTGATTTCTTTCCTGTCAAGTTGTCATTTAATTGCTTAAAATGAGACAGTACATAATGTGCATTGTGCTAATTCTAAACATTTTCTTTCAAATTAGTCATTCATTTCAGTTATCTGAATTTATAATTGATTATTTTGTTGCACAGAAAATTCATGTTGTGAATATATTAGTATGCAACCAGTCAGGTATTTTATGATTTAATTGGTTTTAAACTTAACATTTATGAAAAGAAGATTTTTTTTATTTCCCTCCTTTTTACTTTTTTGTTAGATGCTATTTCTACATATAAGGATTTTAAAGAAAAAAATGCTCCATTTTTATCACTAATTCATTCTTCAGAATTTCAAACTGATGATTACTTTGCTGAAAATTTCGTGAATACAGTAGATTTAAATTTTTTAGGTATATTTATTGATTTCAGTTGTGAAAACTCCAACCCATTTATTGAAGAGGTAGTAAAAATATATATAAATTATTTTATTAAATAAGCTATTATCATAAGACATACTTAGGGATTTTTAAACATAATTGTTTTTATAGTTATTCAAGTTAAGAACGAGCTGTTTACGGTGATTCACTAATTTACAATCAAGCAATAAAAAATTTAAACAAAAAAAACACTCATTGATAATTTTAGGAAAAACAAAAAATCTTGAAATTATAAAATTTTTATTAGTAATTTTAAGTTGGACAAAGTTTTTATTTTTTAGTAACTTATTATTAGGTCTTCTGAAACTTAGTAAGCCTCGGATTTTTTAAATAAATAATTCACTTAGAATATTTAATTAATATCGTTTTTTAAAATGAATTTTCAGATACTATCTACAATAGTTGATAATTGTTGTTACAATGTGTTGTTGTGGAATAAAACAAGCATCAATGAAAAATTTATAGAGGGATCAATAGCTTTTGGAACACAATTAATATCGGCTAGGCCCAATAATAATACAATTTATTTATATGATATTACAGTTAAAACAAATATTGTACCATTTGGTTACTGGGAAAATGGACATCTACTTATGGAAAAAACGCAAATCAACAAATACCAATTGCAGAACCAAACTCTATTTGGTATTATATCGGTAAGTTATAATAATTTGAAATTCATAATACTATTTCATATAAAAGACATTAATATATTAACAAATAGTTTAAACAAAAATAAAACATAATAAACTAATCTATTGGCTTGCAAATAAAAGTTTCAAATAAAATAAATCTGGATGCAGAAACACTAGTTAACTCCTAATCAATTTTTAACTTATGATTAATTAATTCTCAAAACATAAGAAATAATATATTAGAATGAAGTAAAACACTTTTAAATATATTTTTCAATTTTATATGGCAGCTTGATCATACTTTTTTCCCTTATATTTTCCATCTATATATACATATAAATTTACGACATGCTAAAATTTTAGTTTACAGATGAAAACATTAAAAATAATTCAGTTTTGAAGTTCAAGAATGAGGAAATTTATGATTTAGAACTTAACTCATTGGCCAATTTTTCACTAAGCATTTATAGATATTTACGAGTAATGTATGGTGTGCAGTAAGTCACAAAACAATTAATATTGTAACAATAATATTAGCATTAATTAAGAAAATTACAAACTTAAATTAATAAAAATTGTTGGTAGATGGGAATTAACTACGATTTCCAATCCAAAAATGCTAATGAATTACACAAATATATTTCTAAATGTTAGCATTGATTCTGCTGATTTTATAATAACTTCTGAGAACTATTTAAGAACAATCAGCAATGAAATAATAAGATTACCTTCAATTAGAACTATCAAGTAAGTTAGAGCTATTCCTTTCTTCCATTAAATTTGTTTATATATTGGTTATTTATAATTTTAATTAATTTGGAATAAATAAAGAAAAAATTAATATATTTAATATATCTCTAAAATTTCCAATTAAAATTAAATAATTTTGTAATAAATATAAGTAAAATCAATATTCATATTTTCAACTAAAGTAATTGAGGCTGTATCTTCAAGAAGGGTGCTCCAAATATAAGTTTTGAAATACGAGTTGGCAAAGGTTTATGGCATTCACTGACTATGTCTATGTAGCTCAACAACTTCTTCATGGCTGTAGTCCTAAAGACGACCAATTTATTTCACTGTTATTAAAGAAATTCCATATTTCTTATATTCCCTATAAATAGAATAAGCTCGCTGATAGTTTGAAGTTTGTTGATTGTCCCATTAACATTCATTCTGACTCAACCTTTTCCTGTTTTTTTCCACTCTATACACATATTTGAAGTCTTCTGTAACCTTCTTATTCTCTCTCACGGACAATTGGTGACATTTACAATAACTCAACAGGTACACCACGACACAAAAACAATGGTACTGACATTATTTGTTTCTTGATAGAAATAAGGTTTTATTATTAAAGTATTACCCTCAAAAAGGACACCACACTTATGATCCCTTGTTGGAGCTACAGCTTCAATTGTAAACAAAGTAAAAAATAATAAAATATCAAAGTTATGTTGATTTTAGGCAATGTTTTGTATTCAGACGCCCTCCAGTGTATTCCTACAAAACATTTTACCTTAAACCTTTCTCCTTTGGGCTCTGGATATGTCTTGGCATCTTTCTAATATTATCAGCAACATTATTATACTTGATGTGCTTAATTAAAATTGAGGACGTAGATCATAATGAATTAAGTATTTTTGGTAATGTACTTTATTGCTTAGGAGCGCTTATTAACCAAGGTGAGTAAAAAATAAATTTGTATAAATGTAAGTATTAAAAAAAAAAAATTGTTATAAGTTCATGCTTTGTTTGAGATGAAATAATTGAGGAATGACCAGTCACAATGGTAGACACAGATAGTAATGAATGATAATTTTAGCAACTCAAGCTTAAGTTAGATCGCAAACCACACTTTTCGAACTGCTAGCTTACATGATGTACACGATATTTCCAAAATATTTATCCCTGATATTTTTGGTTCAATTTTGAACTTCAAAATATTTAATTATACAACCTATTTAATGAGAAAATCATTAATAACATTACAAAACTTTTTAGAATTGAAATCAAATATTTATTATAGGTTTGTCAGTTCCATCGAAAAGGAGTTCAAAGCGTTTAGTTCAATTTAATATTCTACAGCTGAGCCTTTTTATTTCAAATTTTTATTCTGCAGTTATTCTAAACTATTTATTGTACCCAACACACTCAGCAATCAATGGGATAGATGACATTATAAAGCAAGGATTCGATATTGGTTACGAAGATTCTATATACAATATTGACACTTTTTCAGTAAGAGAAATTTACTTTGTTGTTAAAATATTTTTATGTGAGAATATGTAATGATTTAAGAATGATTATGTATAGATTATTAATTGTAATACAATTAAATATGTTTATTATGAGTTTATTTCTATGTAAATTAATATTAGAATAGTATCACAATTACAAGAAACCTTATTTAAAATTAGTTGTGGTTTAGAGAGAGTTAAAATTTTTCAACATGTTTATTATCTGGCTTAATAATTCACATGATAAGTCACCATTCAACAGTAGAGGCTGTGAATGCTCTCTATCAAGAGCTGTCACTTTTTTAAGGCTTTCTCCAAGCAAAGTTTTGTATTGGGAGCTTCAAATCCTTCCAGAAAAACTTATGAAGTGAAATTCAGCTGGAACCATTTAGAAATAGATTTGATTTTTTACACTTGTGAGAAATGACCATTCCAGTTTAGTATTCAGTATTTGAAGGTGCTTTAGTTTACTTTTTATTTTTTATTACTGATTTCTTTTTATACATTGCATCTTGTTGTAGCCAGAAACTATAATAAAATCATAATAAACATCCAGATTCAATTGAAGCATATGAATAAAATTGGCTTATAACATTTAAGTATTGATTCTTTAAATTAGGTGAATACTTCAGAAATTTTTCAACATAGCATTGGCAATACGATTGCTTCTTACAATATTACAACTGGAGTAGAGAAAATCAGAAAATCCAAATTCGCATTTCTCTCCATCGATTCCAATATTTATAAGAAGACTACGGAATACTTAACAGATACAGAAATATGTGAACTTTCTTCAATTCCTCTTAAAAATAACTATGAGTTATCAATGTATTTAAGAAAGAACTCTCCTTATAAAGAATATTTTCAAAAGGGGTAAGTCATTACCTTTTTTTTTTCAATAACTATTTTGTTGCCTGATAGTTGTAAAATTTTATTAAACTAAAAACTGATATCTTGTAATAACCTTAATAAGTAAAATCTTATTCTTAATCATATATTATAATGAGTTGCCTACGAATATTTTTTATCATTAACATATATCTCAAACTCATTTATTAAACAGATATCAAAGGTTAAAGATTAATTATTTATTTACTACATTAAGACTGACTGCAAAGTTTAACGTGTTTAATACTAAATAACAGGTTTTAATCATCTGATAAACAAATGAACAATAAGCAATGACAGTAGTTGCTCGTCTGTTTGTCTAGTTCTGTGTGTTTTAGTGTGATTGAATACTGTGACATAGTTAAATTTATGATTATCATGTGAGACACCATAAATTTATTCACTTCTGCAGAACAAATAGACGTGCCTTTAACTTATGGCGAGGTACATTGAAACTGTGCTGCTGCTGTTCGAAGATATTGTGAAAAATTTCCTACGGTGTCTCCCATGATAATCATAAATTGAAATGTGTCATAGTATTCAATCACACTAAAACACACAGAGTAATTACGTAACAATCTGTATATATATAATTTCAAGTATAGTCAATAATCTATTTAAATCAGCAAACATATGAAGAATATTTTTTATGCAATGGATGAACAGAAAATACAGATTTCACATTCACCAAAATTAAATATTACAACACATCCATCTTGGTGAAGAATCCCTTCCTATGAAACAATATCACATCAAAAAGGTTCAGATATGATTTTTCTAAGGATCCAAGACTAGGATGGGATTGACTAGGACAAGACTGAGTGTTTATTATAAAATTATTGATTGATCAAGTTTAAATAGCTGATAAATTGGTAATTTTCTTATTTTTAATTAATGTTTGCCAATTAATTGATAATTTTTTTAAGACATGAAGAGATATAGCTAATTTCAATTATGCTGAGATCTCAGACTTAAGTTTTAACCAAATATTTCATTAATGTATTTCATTATCATTAGTTTATTACATATTAATTAATAATGTACATTCAACCTCCAGCTCATTCCAGTACAAATTTACTGAACATTATTTTATATTTTCAGAATATTGTTACTCAAAGAAACTGGAATAATAAATCATGAGGATAAAATTAGGAATAGAAGAAATAAAAAATGTTTAGGCATGGTAAAATATATTGAGATTGGACTAGAAGAAACTTCAGTCGCTCTTGAAATCTTCCTGTTTGGATTGATATGTTCCACTTTCATCTTTATAATAGAATTAATTAATGCAAAATTTATGTCTTGGTTAATAGAATACAGAAAGCAGAACTAAAAAAGAAGTTAAAAATATTTTCACTAATACTTACTAATTACTTGATGTTGATTTAACTAAAATAATTGTACTTCATGAAATAAAAATATACTCTTAATATAATTTTATTTTATTTTGGTTGTCATTCCAAAATAAGGATTGAAAATAAAAACATTATTGGTGCACTATGGGCTTCATGAAATATAAACTGATAAAATATATATTATTTTTCCCATTTCTCATGATTATTCCAATCATGCAATTTGTAAAACTATTATGTTTCATGTAATTATATTTAATAGAACTTCAAGAATCAATTAAACGCCGTATCAGTTTCTTTCTTTTTCTACCAAAGAAGTAATCCTTATTTACAAGAAAAAAAATACATTTTGGGCTGAAGCCTCCCAAAATTCAATCCTGGATCCCCTAGTGCAGCAAATTTGAAGAATTGGAGAATTGAGAGTTCATGTCACTTCCTCAAACCTTTACATAAAAATAAAAACTGATATATACACATTAATATAAATTTATTTTTTGTAAAGTATTATATTATTCGTTTTACAATAATTATGTTAATACGACTTTTTTTTGGGGAGGTCAATCGCCTACCCAACCAGAATGGAAAGTCTTCCCACTCTTATTTAATCTGGTCATATAAACTTATTTATTTTCAAAAAAAGGATTTGTATATTTAGTTTTTACTGTGCAACATAGTATCACCACAATATAGGAAATATAGGCACATAGACTTGGAAGAACTTCAGCTCTTTCAAAATTATTTTTCTTTACATTGGAAAATCAATATTTTTGTATAAAATATAAATGAATTATTCATTTGGAAAAGAGTTCAACTGCAGATTAATAATAATTGAACTGCCTCCTTAATAAAATCAAACTGAGAGGGTAAAATATCAGGATTGTGAATTATTATTCCATCCCCATGTAAAATACTGCTTAAAGCTTGCACTTAAGGTTACAGATAGGACTTAAGCAGGATAAAAAATTGAGCTGCATTATCTTAATCCTAGTTATCTTATCTGTGTAGTATCTGATAGTATTTTTTGTAACCTTTAAATGGCAATTGGAGACTGTTTTGATATGACTTTGATGCAGAGGAGGATCTATGAGGGGGAGGGGGTGAATTTGGGGCTGAAGCCCCAAAAATAGTAAAATATAACCATGTTTTATGGGAAAAAAAATATTAAAAAATTATCTCTTAAAGTATTATTATTCATGTAATTACATTTAAAAAACACCATTTCATATAGGTAGTTAATTTATTTCTTTTTTCCAAAGTAATTATCGTTATTTTTATGGAAAAAAAAGCTTTCAGGCTGAAGCTCCCTCCCCCCCTCCAAAATTAAATCCTGGATCTGCTAGTGCTTTGATGTGTATAACTAGGGAAGGAATAATTTTTGGCGAAGCATTTTTGAAAAAATTGACATTTTCATAACAACTTAAAATAGTTAATGGATCTGAAGGCAGTGAAAAATATGACGGCATTAGTGCATTGATGCCAGCTTTATGTGAATATTAATTAAAGGGAGAAGAATTTCGGAATCTAATCAGAAAATAAATTAGAATTTTTCAAAACTGCGACGAAAACAAAAAAGTTATCAATTATCGAACTAGTGCCGCTCTCTATAAGCCCTAACCACCCCACCACTTGGTTTAGGAGGTAATTACAAACGGTTTTTGTTGTGAAGTGTCGTGTTTAAGATACATTTTTTCTATTTGAATGTAAAAATGTGGTATTTTATACATTTTTTGGTAAATAAATTACGCCCGAATAATTGGTATAATAATTACATGGTAATTTATTCGACTGACTTCATTGAACCACTTTTGGTCGACTAAAATTCGATTGATTAGACGACTTATTGTTGAATATTTATTTAATTTATTCTTCATCATGTATCTACTTAATACAAGAGACAGCAATGCAAATTGCAGTCATAATGATTATATTAAAAGTTTTCTATCACATGACAACTTTTTTTATTGTTGTAAAATAATTGTTTCAAAGTGGTTTTATATTCTGTTTACTAATGTTTGCAATGGATATCGTTTGTGATGTAGTTCCTGCTAAAAGAAATAAGAGCTGTGGTGATTATTCATCTGTTAATGATACTTTACCTGTTTACAATCTGAAATATGAAGAGCGTGATCTTCAAGAAATTGTAGTTGATACTGAAGTTCCCGATTATGTTGGTAAAACTCTTATTCATCCTTTTAATCTCCATTGCATGCTGTGTAATAAAACATGCTGTGATGAAACGTCCGTGTTTACTCATATAAACAGTCCTAAACATTTGATGCACAATTGGAAGAAAAAGGAAGCTATTGGGATAGTCAGTAAAGAATTCAACACATTTATACTGTGCTGTTTGTCAGATTTGATTGCCTTTGTACATGTTTATTATAAAACCCATGGATTGAATGAAATTGTTGTTGCTAATAGAGAATTTATTTTTTCTGAAAATACGGACCACCATAGTGGTAATGCAGAAACAAGCAATAAAATAGTTGTCACTTCTCCAAGGTTCATACCACCGGTCGAGAATTCAGTGTATTTTAGAATAATTGTAGATCGAGAAGATTCTCAATTATTTTATGAAAGCAGAGCTGCTAGATATTCACATCTCACTGGTAATATTGTTATTGAAACTAAAGGTAGTAGTTATCCGAAAATCGCTTACATATATGAATTATTCAACAAAGGAATACCTTCTTGTGGACCGCTGTTTGTTGACTTACTTGAATGGTGTTCTGAAAATATACCTCCCTCAACTGTTGTCTGGTGTTCTCTTTGTTGTAAAAGTATATCAATTCAGTGTTTACGCTATCACTTATCTGAAGATCACACAGTTTCTAATTCCCAGTTTTTATATGCGTTGATGTGTCATAAATGTGAAACATTTTTTCTTATTGATTATGGGGATAAAATGCATCATGTTCACAATAAAGGGATTACAAAAAAGATTTTGAGAAATCAATTAAACAAAAAATTTAATGCTGTACATTTGATGCCGGACATTTCTGCAGAAGCAATCGAGATCTACATGAATGATTTCCAAAAAAGATATAACCTGAAAAAATCTGACTTGAAGTTTGAGTGTTTGCTATGCTTTTCTCCATTAGTAAAACGTTTTACTGAATTTGTGAATCATTTGAGAGAATCATCACATTTGGATAAACTAGTGCAAGAAAGTAGGAAATTCACTGCTTTTTGTGATGCATGTAATATTATTTTGATAGCTCAGAATGTTAATAGACTTTTTGATCACTTTGAAGTACATAAGTCAATTTTAAACATGAGTGATAGCATTGAAGATTCTCCAATAATGGCTACTAGTGATATTGATGTCACAATGCAAACTGACTCTAATAACTGTGCTGAGTCGACTATCATATACCCAAAAGTAGCAAATTTCAGTGAATCTGCTTTTCAGTTTACTAATCCAGGAGTTCAAGATGATTTTACTGTTACTAGAGATATGACTATTGAAAATATTGAAGAATACATTGAAGAAACGTTTTATTCGATTTATTCAGATCTCAAAAAGATATATTTTGCCTGTTTGAACTGTACTTCATCTAGAATGGATAAAAGATCATTTTTTAACCATTTAAAAAATAGAAAACACCTTATGAAAGTGCGTCCATTCTCAGATTTAATTTTCTTTGTTAAAATATGTGATATTTGTCAAATGTTTCTGTTGGGATCTCACATTGAATTAGTGAAGAAGCACTTTACCTCCACTGATCATAATCAAAATATTAAGTGTAGAATGGAGTTCATCAAACGACAGTATGTTGATAGCTCAGGTAATATTTTTAATTTTTTTGTTTTTATTATATATTTTTAATAATTTTTTGTTATATTCAACACAACCGAGATTTTTTTTATTTTTAACTTCCAAGTAATTACATCTTATGTTTGAGTTTTTAAAAGTTAATAGATGTTCTATTTTTGTTGTTACATAGAGTATGCATTTAAGCTTATAATAATACAGATTTTTCTTTGTTTAGTTAATAAGAGGCCTGCAATACTTGTTTTTGTTAGAAAGTTAAAAATTCAATTAAAATAAAAGATCAGAACTCTAAAAGAAACATTAATTACTTGTTAGAATATTACTGGAATATTTCAAACATAGTCTTGAATCTCTAAAATACTGGAAATGAGTGACCTATCAATGTTTCGCCAGTTTAGAAATTTTTGGGAAAGAATCAACCTACAGCTACGCCAACTACATACATGTGTTTTGATGTCTTTGGATGGTGTACTGTCTCGAATTTAAGTTTCTTAGACAAGAGAAATGTGCTGTTTGGTCTGCATATATATGATATTCGCTGTTTACATCCTGATAAATTTCTCTCACCTACTGCTGGGTCTTCTAGATTTTCTTTCAAATTTCTTTGACGTGTTCACTGTATATACTAATCATGTTGAATACATTTTTTGTCCTATATTTTATCATGTGTTTTTGATTAACTGATAAATAACTTTAGTAAATTAAAAAAAAAAATACTTCTACTGCTACAACCCATGAAGGGTTTTGGGCTTAGTTCTTTGTTATGAAGTTCTGCTTCAAGTCCAACAGTTGTGCAGGGAGGTAATCAGGCCCGAACCATACTCAACCACCAGGTTTCCCCCTTAATTAATTATTTTAATTAAGAATACCAACTTTACAGAGACTCTGTATTTGAACCTGGGACCTTCAGCGTACCAGAAATCAACCCAAAGAAATCTTTATAATATCAATTAGTGCTGCAACTGTTTGAGTTGTTTATGTTCATAAGTTTCATCTTTATTATGAAAAACTGTACATTTATTGGGATGTATATGATATTAATCTACATAGTTCTTTGAAAACGACCATTTAAAGAACATGATTTTAATAATAACATAAGGAAATAATCTCCAAGAAAAACAAAAAAGATTAAATTTAAGAAAAGCATATCCTATTTTCTGGACATTGTAGATGGTGAATGTCACACACGCATGCGCGCGCACACACACACATTTAATCTCCTGGCTTATTAAAGCATTTTTAAAAAAAATTGTCTTGGGTTAAATAATTTAAAAGGAAGTGCTGTTTCATGTTCAACTGTTGTGCAAGGATGTGATTTGAATGAGATTATACTGAACTGCCAAGTGAATTCACTGCTGGTAAACAGAATAAATAATAATTTGCCACAGTCTGACTCGAATCTGGGACTGAAATAATAAGAGCATAATACTTTACTCTTTTAGTGAAGAATTGATTAATCAAAATGTCTTAGCTTTTTCTTATGGTTATCTCATCGATAGAATAAACTGATTTGACCATATTAAAATTTAGTGGGAAAGTTTATTAAAAATTAACTGAATACTTCTTTTCATTTTATATTGGATAATTTTAAGATGCTTTATATTTTAATTTATTTAATCTATTTTAGGGAAGATGAAGTTAGGATGGTCTGGTAAGCTGACAGACAGAAGTGTGGAGTTATTTTCTTCTAAAGAAGGGTTAAATAACCATATTGAATCCTGTTTAAAAGAAGCAGTAGAAATTTGGCAAAGTGCTTCATTTGTTCATGGAATGCTAGATAGAGATATAAGAAAGACATTAGAGCCAATCTGTGGTCACATAGATGTTAAATTTTTTGGTTCAAGAATCTATGGATTAGCTCGGCAAGATAGTGATGTGGATATATGCATTGGTAAGTATTCTTAAATTTATTTGCTTCATTTTTATAATAGTATATAAGTTGTTAAATTTTAAACTTTTTTAGGACTTCATGTTTCTGAATAACATGTAATTTACTTTCACAGTTTTACTAAAGTTTCAATTTTATTTAAATCTATTTTAGATATTATTTTTTTGTTTTAATTAATAATTTGGTATTAATTAGCTTAAAGCATGGGTCTCTAAACTTTTTGGCCTGCAGCTCACATTTAGACCTCCACTAATTACCGTGGGCTGCATTTAGACTTCCACTTAAGTCCTGCGGGCCATGGCTTGTTATGAAATAAAATCTTGTTCTATAAATAACATTTCAGTTGTGAAATGAGCTTTATAAGAGAAACTAACCCATGCAATAAATGATGTTGTTTAATTTATTATGCATGCCCTTCCATGGCTGTCAGAGATAATTGTCATAATAATTATGCTTTAATAGCTTGTACATAATTTATTGCTGTGGGTTGTAAAATTAAAGGAGTTAGTGCACTAAATAAATGGTAATATAAAATTGATTGCTTTATTTTAGGTAATTTTGGAATTTATACAATGTTTAGATTTAGGTGGGTTGGGATACTTGCGATTTTCCTTTCTTCTATGTGTCAGTCTTCATGTTTATGCCTCTTCTCTCTTCCTTTCTTGGCGCCTTGCCAGCCGCTGTAGTTTATTACTCCATATTTATGAAATCAGGAGAATTTTCTTACTTGCCAGCCTAGTGAGTTTTTATTCTGCGTGAGCATCTACGCTGCAGTCTATAGTCAGTATGGTCGAGATAACAGCTGTGTTGTTCTACTCTTCATTTCATTTAAATTTTATTCAAATGAGAATTTTATGGTGTTCCCTTAACAGATGTAACCTCTTGTATGAGTGGTTTGCTATATTTTATATTTTTTTAATAATTTTTAAAATTTTACCATGTAATCAAAGAAACTTTCACTGGCCGGATTGGAGGTGGAAGCTGGTAGGTAATGGTTGTGTCATATTTTTATTGAATTTTTCAAACATAAATTTTATACATACTTTTTGGGTTATGCATTGAGTGTAGCCAAGTCTGCTTGAAAGTTAATTATGAAAACTGATCTCCAAAACTTCCTATTAAACCAATTTGACCATAACTGTATGTATGGCATGGAGAGAGTCACACCATTAAAATTTTTGGAGGCTGCATATATTTACAGGGTTATGAATCTTTGGAGAAAACCATATTTTCATGGGGTTTCAATTTGAGGGAACTTTCAAACAAGGGAACAAGGGAAAACCTAACTATAATTTTTATAATTCTATTTTATACTTCTACTGGTTCTGTTTTAAAGAAGGCAAGAGCAATAAAATTTCTTGGTAAGAGGGAAGGGAGCATGAACCTTTACCCTTGGGGAGAATGGGTACTCCTGACAACTGTTATTGAATAAAATTAATGATGGGAATCATAATATCTTTATCGAAAAAGGATGGATTTGATCCATAAGGCTAATGGCAGTTCCATTTCCATTTACTGTTTTGTTATTTATTTTATATTTTCCTATATTCTTATTTTAATGTTATGTTTATACCGATTACCTTAATAGTCTTATTCTTTTAGATGGTGCGACTATTCAAGATTTAGAGCAAGGATTTTCTAAATCAATGAGTTTATTTTGTGTTAAAGAAATCATCAAAGAAGCTAAAGTTCCTATCATAAAAGTAGGACACATATATACCTCTCTAGACTGTGATATCAACTGTTGCGATACCGGTGCAGTGTATAATTCAGAACTTGTTAAGTAAGAAAACTGAAGTTTTATAAAATAATGCTTAATTTAATTTAAAAATATTAAAATATACTTAATTTAAAAATATTACTTAATTTAAATGAGATTAAATTGATATAAAAAAAAATCATAAACTTTATAAATACTATCGCAAGAGAAATAATTGAGTAGGTAGTAATTTAGTTGTTTATGGTCATGTTATTTTTATACTATAAAATTATATTTGATGCTGATTTTCAGCTTCTGACTCCTAGCATACGCCTTGCCTAATGATTAAAAGCTTGCCATTATTTATATTCTTTTATTACTAATTTGATTATTGTCACTATAACAAGCCAAAGTTCTGTGTATTACTTAATTTTTTGTTTCAGAGTATACATAGCTTTGGATCCTCGAGTGCAGTGGCTATTAATGGCAGTAAAAGAATGGGCTGCCATTAATTATATCAGAGGATCTCAGAAATTCACCAGTTACGGATTAATTTGGCTAGTACTCTTTTTCTTGATGCAACCTGATATTTGTTTGGTTCCTCCTGTGAATCTTTTAAAAAGCCTTTACAATGGACCTAAAACATTGATTAATGGTAATTTTTTACTAATATTATCTATTTTTATACTTTATTATAAATAACTATCATGGCTGTTTTTTAATTTGTCTAAAATATCAATAGATAAATAATTTTTTTTTGTACAGCTTCTTTTTCTACATTAGGGCTTTACATAATTAATATTTTCAAGCAATAACTTGGGCAACAGCTCTCTTGTAGTGAATCACGATTTGATAAGATTTCAGCAAGGAGATTACCAGAAATGATTTTGTTCTTTTATATACCATTATTTCTTCATACAAAGGCCAAGAGAGCACAATCAGCTCTGATTCACTTTTTCAAATACTTTACAAAGGAAGTAGACCTTATAAATTTTCATTTTTTCCTTATAAAATTCAACTTTTTTTTACTCCTTTTTTAAACAGTATTATTTTTCATTCATTGACAATTAATGGCAAACTTTGACAAGGATAATTTTTTAATATTACTTTTCCAAAGCAGCTTACTTATACCATGTTTCAAGAATTTCATTTTTTGAACTATTGCTGTTTTTGTTTTACCTTACATAGTCTGTTAACAAAATCAAAGTTAATCCTCATACTTGAATATATAATTATTAAAGTATTTTATTAATATGTTTCTATAATTTAAAGAAAACTTGTACAAGCAGATTTGATCAGCTATTTATATATTCCAATTTAAGAAAAGTTCTTGATTTTTGTATATTATTTCATTATACATGAGATTCTATTCATAATTATACTTGGCTACTAATTAAATTTCAATGCATTACATTTACATTTAGTATTGTTGAAATCAAATTATCTGACTGCCCTTTGGCCAATAAATGCTAATGATTGCCTGATTAACGATATTTCAATACTATAACATCAACTTGAATATTATTAGAAGAAATAGCTGTTAGATAAATAAGTTATTCTTAATTTAAAAATTACTATAAACTGTTTTTATTTCTAGGGTGGAATTACTCATTTTCAAACCACATTGAATTGATTAAGCTCCACCATAACCCATTGGCTTGTCAAAAAAACAAGTATGAGCTCCTTCTTCACTTCTTTCAATATTATGCCATGTTGAAGGCAAAGAGGGTTGTGCTGTTTCCTCTGACTGGAGAAGTCTATCCACGATCTATGCTCGCCAACACGGATCTGTGTATCTGCCCAGAATTAGCAATGAATACGGAGGATACAGAACCTGTAAGAATAGGTGGGCAGTTTGTGCTGTTAGATTGTTTTCGTTTGCGATACAATATCTTAAAGAATGTAGAGGAGAACCTGGCGGATCATTTTAAGTTGATATGTGCGAAAACGTATGAGAGTAGCTCCTGGAGGTCTTAGATATCTGCTTCTAATGAATGTGGAGGCTCCATGAGTTTTTACTTTCTGCCATATAGGATTCTAAATGGTATATTGACAGTAACAAGAGAAAATGTAGGAATTACATTAAAGTAATTTAAAATATGATCTTGTTGACTAATCTATTTGATAATTTAAGTTGAAAAATGTTTTTTTTGATAACTTTGCCATTAGGATAATAATATTTCCTGTTACTTGGTAAAATATTTTTAAAGTTTTAAGTTCGTTTTTAGAATAGCTATTGACTTGTCACTTGAATTAGGTGACTATATCAGTTTATTTTTCAAATTAAGAAAAATGTCCTACAATATATTTTTTCTTGTATTGTGAAATATTTTCTATTGATTAGAAGCTTTAAAAGGCTAGTACAAAAACCAATTGGAGAAACAATTTGCCTTTAATGCAGAATAACAGTAATTTCAAAGTAAAATAAATTTGTATAATATATAACAAAACAGGTTTCTTTATATATATCGTGAATGTTATTTTAATAAAAAAATCAGTGAGACATATGAGGAACTAAATGTTTGTTTTTGTATCTGCTGCACATAAGCAGTTTTGATGATGCTACAAAAATCTTTTCTGAAAAGGAAAAGAAGTTTTCTCCATCTCCAAATTTTTATTATTTTATAATGTTGGATTGTTGAAGAGTGTGAATTTTTTATTACATTTGCTTTATGTATTATTTTAAATATGCATTTTATAAATACCAATGGTCTTTCAAGATTTTATTCTTTAATTTTAGTAGAAATGGTAGATAGTTTAGTCAAATACCAAGACTGTTGATTGCAATTAAGTTACCTTTAGTTAATTTTTTAATATTTTATGTTTGTTTCAATAATTTTTTGTAGTGAAATTTTTGTAGTGTTTAGTTCCTTTAACTTAATTTTGTCCAGTTCAACCTGACCTTCATTAATTATTTAATTTCTTTATTTTAAATTATATTACATACATTTATCTTCAATATTTTATCTGTAATTGTTGATCTAGTTTTGAAACTAAATTTTTAAATAAATAGATTGCTCTGAGTTCTGTATTGCTTCCTCACTACCAAAGGTCATTCATTATCTGTCATGTACCCACAGAAGCCTCAAGCGACGATGAGAAAGACGCCTTTTATGATGCCTTGGAACGGACCTTTGATGGATGCTCCAGATCCGATATCAAAATCTTACTGGGGGATTTCAATGCGAAGATTGCAAGAGAAGATGCATATAAACTCACGATTGGCTCATTCAGTTTGCATGAGGGAACCAATGAAAACGGTAAGAGGGTCTTTGATTTTGCAACATCGAGAAATTTAGTAGTTGGGGGTACTCTGTTCCCGGGGCGGCGGATTTACAAGGTTACATTGAAATCACCCTATGGCATTACCCATAACCAGATTGACCACATCTTAATTAGTGCACATCACAAATCTAATCTCCTTAGTAGTAGGACTTACAGGAGAGCAAATGTTGACTCCGACCATTACCTTGTAATATCAAGAATTAGAGTCAGGATTGCCACCGTCAGGAGCCAGAGGACTGAAAGGTCCAAAAGGTGGAACATCGGAAAGCTGAAGGACCATTTCAAGAGAAAATGGAAGAATTGGTGAGAGATGGGATCAGAGTAGCTGACATTGAAAGTGTACAGGATGTCTGGGACCAACTGGAAAATAAATTAATGAAATGTCAGAATTAACTTATCCTGTTCCTAAATAGTAATGGCATAAAATTCTATCCACTGGCCATTAGAAATCTAGGAATCATTTTTGATTCAAGTCTTTCCTGAAATTTTTCTCACTTGGAAGATCACTAATTACTTTAATAATATATTTTTTTTCCACACCTTCCTTGTCTTTTAAGCTATACGGAGTCTTTCCCGGTCCAGGGAAGAGGGCAGGGGATTAATGGCAGAGTTAAATCCTCCCTCTCCCTCTCCCGGCACCAGGACATAAACTCATCATTATTTTATCATATAACATGTTTTGCACGTGTGTTAGCCCACTCGGCCACTCCACATATAATATTCTAACTCAGAATTGTCTGCTCCTAGTTTCCACCTTATTTTACCGCAACTTTGACAATAGTTTTGGTATTTATTTATTTTTTATTATTAATTAAACCTCTCCTGATCAGCTTCCGCTGATCTTGCAGCTCAGTACCATTCTGATATGGACGACTTCGTATATCTTATGTTCAACAAGCGCGAGCATACACTTAAATGTTCTGCGTCCATATGTGCTCCCGAATTACATAGGTTGCAATGTGGAGAGTCTGCCACTCCTATTCTATGTAGGTGTTTCCTGCATTTAGTTAGTCGTGGTCTGTTATCATCTGGAACTCTGCCATACCTTCCTTTCTCGGCAGGTTCATAGAAACTCTATCTGTTTCATTAAACAATTTTCTGCATTGCCTTTTTACAGTACTGTTCTTTATGGATTTCAGTAGTAGAGCCTGACTTGTCTTATGTATTTCTTTTATGGCTCTATGATATGATATATCATTTTCTGGCTGGAGCCTTACTTGGCGAGTTTATCAGCCATTTCATTGCCGTAGAGACCACAGTGACTTGGTATCCATTGAAAGAATACTTCTGTTACTTGAAGAAGTAGTTCCTCTATGATCTGTTGGCACTTCAAAATATCATGAGCAAAAGAGTCACTGGGCCGTGATACAGCGAGAATAGCTGCCTTTAAATCAACGAGCAATACAATATTTTTGGCATCTAAGTGTGAAAAGGCTTGCAATGCCAATATGATTGCTCTAATTTCGATGTGAAAATTTGAGGCCCGTTTCTCAACAGGTTTTTGAAATAGCAAACAGTGGTGAGTATGCGCCTGCTCCTCCATTGTGTGTTGCCTGTTCGACAGATCCATCAGTGCACACATGAATCCATGGAGGGCTGGGATAATGTTCAGCAATTGCTTCAAGAGCCAAGGATCTTAGTTCTTCTGGTATAACCTCTTCTTTTTTAATGGGTTTAATAAGGTTGAGGTTATATGATGAACATTCTGTTCGACTGTTCTCCTGTTTTTCCTGAACCCTGCTTGTGATGGGGATAGTATGCCATTTTGCTTCATGACTGTCAATAGTCTGGGTATTGCCATCCTTTCTAGTAATTTACAGAAACAACTTGTCAGTGCTATTGGCATGAAGTTTTTTAGTTTGTCAGATTTCCTACCACTTTTTAATATTGGTATTACCTCTTCCTTTCTCTATTCGTTTGATAGATGTTGTGTCCACACTAGGTTTAGGAAATAGAGGATGATATGCTTAGCTTTTGTTACTAAATATGTAAGGAATTCAGAAAATATTTTATCAGGCCCTGGTGACGTTCCTCTTCAGAGATTCTGTGTAGCAACTTCTATTTCTACTAATGTAAACGGCTTGTTAAAAACACTCAATTGCTCCTTAATCAAGCAGGTTGATGAAAGTTTTGTTTGAGGCTGTTTTGTTTTGGGCTTGAAATTGCTTATAGTGCAATATTGCTTACAAAAATGTCGAGCTATAACATTCTCATTTGTCAGTAGCTTAGATTCTGTCTGAATTGGGCTGTTTGAGTGTATTGTATTATTGTTAAATTTTGATTAAAAAAAACCTTTACGCTTTAATGGCATGTTTTCTGAAATCAAGTTTCTCGAGAAAGGATCTGTATGCTGATATTTTTGAATGTTTAATAGCACGCTTTAGTTCAGCTCCTCGACGCTTGAGCTCAGTTCTGTCTAGTCATTATTGTTTTTCTAGGGCCTTATCACATCCTCTTTTAAGATTTCTAGTTCCTTGTTCCAAAATGGTGTGAACTTCTTAACCTGAACTTGAAGAATGGACAGCTTTGCTGACATAATAATAGCGTTCTTTATGTTCTTCAGTGTCCTGTCGACATTACATCTCCAAGTTCTGAGGTAACAAGCTTATCAGCTTTATTTGCATATGTTTTCCAATTTTCTTTCTTCATATTCCAGGCTGAAGCATTTCTCTTCGTTGTAGATTTTTGAGGATATGCAAGCTCAATGCTGAGAATCTTGTGTCCAAAGCCTTGAGGAGAGTTAAGCAAGTTATGGTTAATCTTCTTCATTAGTACAGGGCGTGCCAAGACTATACCAGGATGTGATAAGGGTCCATTGTATGATAAGAAGGTAGAACTGCCTTGGTTGTTGTCAATGAACATTACAGCGTTTGCGTCTATAAAATATTCCCATATACTTCCTATGTCATCAGTAGTTGAGTAACACCAGTGAGTAGATGGTGCATTTAAATCTCCACAAATGATGCAATTGGCCCCCGTAGTTTTTCAAGCCATTCCAACTTTGACTCTTTCAACATTCTTTATAATTTTTCGACAAAGTATTTCAAGGTGGTTTATAAATAACAAAAAGGTGCTTGTGCATATTTTCTATCCAGTCCTCAATCTCTGCCTCTTCAAGATTATCCAGCTGAATCATCTCATTCCTTGCAGTAAATCTTGGTGTAATTGACTTGACTTCTTTACTAGGATTATAATGTCTGATGAGTGCATTCTTGCTTGAGGTACAGAGTACGCTTGTTTTCCCTCTGTAGTGAAGGTAAGATAAGTTTTTAAGCCTAAGATCGGTATATATTAATGTATGCATACATACCTATATGTATTTATTTATTTTTTTAAATCTAAAATGTTGTGATATAAATTGTAATGTAATTTAATAAAATGTTTATACGGTTTCTTTTTTAAATATAAACAGTAGTTATGTTTATTAATCAATAATTAATTAATTAATAAAACAGTTTAATATCCCAATTAAATTATGACTAACCTGATAAAGGTTATAAATAATTATACCATTTTTCTTGATTTTTTTCAAAGTCTAATAAGTTTTTATTTAAAAAAAGGTCTTCCATAAAATATATTTATTATTTGACATTTTGGGGCTGTATCCCAATTTTCAGAACTTTCTTACTATCACAGTTTAATACTTCAAAATAGTTTTTATTGTGTGTCTTTATGTTACTGTCAAAATTTAAAATAATTTTTTTTTAATTTTACGTTAATAGAAAGTTGAGCTATAAAAATTATAGTGAGGTAAGTAATTATTGAAAATGAGAATACAGCCCTGAAATATGAATTCTTAAATACATTATATGGAATTTCTTATTTTGCTTTGCTACCTACAAAAAAAAGGTATGGAAGATATAAATAATAATAAAAACTGTGAAAT